GGCTCCAAACAGTCAAATGCTCGTGAATAGTCTAGTAGCACCATAATGGAGCTAAGCCCCATATCCGATGCCTCCGTCAGATCGTCTGTAACTTTAAGGAGTGCCGTTTCAGTGCCATGCGCTTTGCGAAAGCCTGATTGAAGCTTTGGCGTTATATTATTGTTCTCTAGGTACTTTAGAACTTGCACCAGCACTACTTTCTCTAGTACTTTCGATAATACCGGTAAGATTTAAATCGGGCGTAGATCTTTTAGCGCGAGCACTGTACTTTTTTTTGGATAGGTTTAACTAGCGCTTTCTTCCAGCTAGAGTTATATGAGAACAAACATCGAAAATCCAAAAATTTTATAAGCAATTTTATTCAACCCATCCCTAGTGAATTGTCAAACTAATCTATCTTAAATAGACACTCTATAAATGTACCTATGTAGGGGGTCCCGTCCCGACTTCGCTCGGGTAGCAAAAATATGTCTAATTTCTTTTGACACCCAAGAGAGAAAGAAAAAAATCTTTTTTCTTTTTATATGGTAAATACCTAGATGGCAAACGAGTAAACAACAACCTGATATTTTCATACATTTTAATGCTATAAATTAAACTGTGTACTTATTACTTGAAGTTGTAGCTCTTGTGAATATGATTTGTTATACTGTTGCTTTGCATTCACAACGTTACATCTACATTATAGTCACATATAAACACGAACATTTTTTATTATCTGTACAAAAAGGTCTCATACATTAATTATCGGTTAGAGGAATTACTTGTATCCTCCAAGAGTTATCAGCAGCTATTGGTGGTGAACATAACGGGCTTTGTTTGGTAAAATTACAAAGAGCCTGTATACGAATACACGTACTACATAGTAATAGATATCAGTTTGCGGACTACACACCGAGGTTATTTCCATAATCAACTTTATTCGTACGATTTAAGTTGTGTTGTGTCGTTGCACTCTTGTACTTTACAAGTTTTAGTTGTCGTGATGTTGGTGTTACCATTTTACAAAATTACCAGTTTATTAATTTATTTCCGTGTCGGGGGAGCCCCGCGTAAACTAATAAAGAATGAGTTGTATTTATGTAGTTACCCGATAATCTGTAATCTGATGCAACGATACTCTGATAACCAAAGAGTATATAAAATAAGAGACGGGACTCTTGACTAATTAGATACACAAACGGAGAATAAAAATTGTCATTTTCAATGCTAGCAATATTATGAACAAGTCTACGTTGCTACCAACCTAAAAAAA